GTAAGGGATTGTAGTTTCACTGAATGGTCTAGCAAGAATGATGATCCCCTGAAGCTGCCATTATGGAAACAACAGGTTCTGTTTTCTGTGTCCTATTAAAATGATCCAAATAGGACTATCTAACTATCCAAATATCTCTTCTGTATACCAGAAAAACTCCAGGCTTTCCCAGAAGGAACCTGTTACTGAAATGTAACTGAAAATTGGAACATTTGCCCCATGGAAAATTCTGATATTTAAATATCTATCCTGGAGTGGAATACAAAGTGTACATCTAAATTTTTCCCTCAATGAAAACCTCAGGAAAAAAAATCAGAATGGAAAAAATGTAAATAGCTTTACTTTGATTAAAAGTCCTATGATGCCTCATAAAAGTTATGCTTCTTACCATATTCTGAGGGTATCTATCTCATAGGTTAATTTTTCCCTATGTGATGGGCTGTATTTTTCTGACTCAAAACAAAATATTTAGAGTGGATTTTTCAAACCATTTTCAAACCAAAATATTTAGAGTGGAGACCAAACCATTCCAAAACCACCAATGTTTTCTCAGATTGGTTTTTAAGGTAACTGGGTTGTCTATCAAAAAACATATGGATGGGAAATTCCTGGTGGTTCTACCTGTCCGCTTTAAAGTCAGTTTGAGGCTTTAGGGGGAGAGATAACATTTGGCATTATAATGGAAACCCGGGTATAAATATAGGCCTGGCTCCTGCAGTTGGATAACTATGAACAGGCCTTCTCAACCATCACCCCATAGGTATAGGGCCTTTAAAATAAGAGCAGTGGCTTAGGAACATAACTTGTGCACTGATTCTGTCTACCAATTAGTGCCTTCCTACCCCAGATATCAAGAGAGACCCATGCCACAGCTAAGGTATCCCTTCTTGTGTCTTCTCTCCTAGGTATCTCTAGCTGCATCCTGGGTGTGTCTACATGTGCATTTATGCAGGTTTAAATTTACTCCACAGTAAGCAGGAATAGGCCAGCATCTATATGTGCAGGCATTAAAGCTCATTAACACTCTGTGCGGACTGATTTGGGACTAAAATTGGTCCCAAGTCAGTCCTTGCACACAATGTTACTGTGCAGTAAGGCATCTACACGTGTTTTTACCGATCAGTAAATAATCGGGTTATAAATTCGATACTTGCATGATGCAGGTATCAAATTTACGCTCAAGTTGGCATAAGTCACCATATTTACTGCACAGTATGGGTGTGCACATAGAGATGAGAACCCGTACTGCACAGTAATTTTGGTTATTGCACAGTAAATGTGCACATGTAGACACATCCCCTGTGTTGAATCTTATTCCTTGACGTCAGTTGAGACGATCTGGATGCCTGAAGCATCAGCTCAGTTCCTAAATTACCCCAGTGGTATCATGACTTCTTTGCTTCATTATTACAGGGTGGATACCAAATTCTTGGCCCTTGGTGTCACAGTTCTATTTTGATGTTGTTTTTCCACTGCGGTGTTGGGCCACTTTGTCATTAGACTGGACAGACCTGTTTGGAAGCAAAAAAAAAAAAGGCTCAGGAGTTTTCCTTAGATTGAAGTCTTCTCCAGGGCAGGACTTGTATCTTCCAGAGCATGTGTGGGCCAGGCTCAGCCAACTGCGGATGCTACCAGAACACCCACAAAGCATGAGAGCAGAAGAAAAAGTTCTCGCCAACGCTTATAATGGGAGAGTGAAAGTCTCGATGCTAGTCTCCAACCTAGCAGCCAGTTATGCGGCCAAGTATAACACAATAACATAGACTTATGAAGAACTTATTAGATCGGTTACTTTATTCTCATTAATGCCTGCTTGTTTCCTCCCTCTTTCCCTATCTTTTTGTTTAACTTATTTCATTCTTTCCTACCCCTGCTGTCTGCAAGTCTGTTCATAGCATCTGAATAGACTGTAGCCTATGAAAGCTCACATCTCTTTGAATGAGTTAGTTTAGAGGATGCCATTCTACCCTACCTTCTGCATTACCCTGTAGGTCCATTAATCAGAGCTTCCTTTGGAGATATTAGATACACAACTCTCATAAACCTTACTGAGTGAGAACATGAAGTCAGTGTAACACAGGAAAAATTCATGCAATAAAATAGTTGAAATCCACCTAGGATTTTAAAACCTGAGAGGGGAACATGAAGGTTTTGGTCAGGGCTTGAATGGAGTTCTCCTAGGTAGGAAGTTAAGAGACAAGTGAACACTGCACCTAGGATGAAAGAGAGGTGCAGATGTGGCTTCTCCATCTTGGCAGGCACAGAGGCTTGAACCCAATGGCTTGTCAAAGGAAAAGGAGGAAGTTTCCATAGTTTATACTATAGGGCTAACCTTAAAATGGTACAGCAGCCAACTCCCATTTCCTGTGTTTCAGCAGAGAGCAGCTATGTGACAGGTAAAGCACTGGGACTGGTTCCCCAGAGAGGTTATGGACTCTCCATCCTTGGAGGTTTTTAAGACCCGGCTAAACAAAGCCTTGGCTGGGAAGATCTCATTGGGCCTGGTCCTGCTTTGAGCAGGGGTTGGACTAGATGTGAACTCCTGAGGTCCCTTCCCACCCTCATTTTCTATGATTCTGTGTGCTGACCAGGGGCTGACATGGAGATCGCTGGCTGGACAGTTCTGCTTCAAGCTGAATTTCACCCAGAGAGCTTTGAGACTATAAATAACTGAATTTTGGAGGCTTTAGCAAAGAGACCTGAAAGTTTTGGGCAAAAACTGAAAGTCTGCATTCCACTGATATGATGATTTATCACAGCTGAAATTCTAACCCAATAGGCTTTCTTATTCAATGTTGAATGGCAAAGAAAATCACAATTAAGGGGATCCTCAACATCCTCTCTTTCTTTCTTTCTTTCTTTCTTTCTAAATCCGGGCAAAATGTGATGAGTGGATGACTCATCAAATCACCCTTGCTCTTAGATGAACTACATCTGCTAGCTATGCCAAATAAATGCCATCTTCTTATGTAACAGCCTTGCAATGAAACAAGATGTTGTCTAATGATTTTTCACTTTGGGAGTCACAGAATGGCGTGCTCCCGTCACTTCGCAAATATGTTGATGCGTAAGTGTCATAGGATTAATAAAAAGCATTAGGTCAAGTCCTCACCAGTTTTTCACCAACTAAGAATCAGGTTGACTAGGGTAAGTCTAGGCAAAAGTTTGGGTTAGGGCCCTATAAATTAATTTCCCAACGGCATGTTAACCCTTTACAAGCACTGCTCCGAAGCTCAGATAACTCATAGCTTTTATGTGAAGTGGGCTGATATTAAGTAATAATCAACTGAATTAATGATGAATGGTTTTCTAACAGAAGGCTGCAGGTAGTCAAACCACATGTTTATTCAATGGGGTCTTTCCAACGTAGGAAATTTGAGAGAAATGTAAGATTTCATCTCAACTGATTTATCGTGGTCTTGAAGAAGCACCAACACAAACCATGTATGGTGGAAGTGACATACAGTCAAGTGTTCTGGGTAAATTCATCCCATCAAATTAGGGCTTAAATGATACAAACTCCTCAAATTAGCCTCATTCAAAGAGCAGGGAGCTTTTGCTCAATGGGTTCTGAATCCCACTGAGAATGACTCTGCTCTTCCCTTGGTAAACTAGTGTCCTTCGTCCACTCTTGGGAGTGCCCCAGGGTGGAAGACCCGGGGATATTCCATCCTCCTGAGTGAGCTGAAGCCCTGACTGTTGGTCACTATATAGACATAAGAGATTTCCCTTCAGTATTCATGCATATGTTTGGAGTTGGGATGTGGGGCAGACAGAAGGAAAAGCTGACCTGCCTTCTCAGGAGTGGCAGACATTACCTTTATAATGTTGCCAACTACTACTGACAAAGACCAACCAGCCCCTGTGCCTGGGAGAAGAAAGTTCTGACTATCCTACTGACTTGAATGCTAAATTGTTATGTTAAGGGGTGACTAGCTAATGTTTTCTGGTAAATGATGAAAGAATGGGAAAAAGACAATGTTCTCTTGTTGTTTAAAGGGAGTTAATGAACTTCACCATCTTGGTATTAGTGCTAGCCAAATGAATACAGGAGTTACAAAGGGGCTTTGGTATCCCCAGCAGGGATATCATGATGACCAGTCCACACAGTTTAATGAAACCATTGAGAGACATAGACCCATCCAGCATCAAAGTCAAGGCACATATCTACCCCACCTGTGGCTAGCATGGTGAAGACATACCAGCTTCTGTCACCAACTGCATGCAAGACAGTAGCAGCATGGTCCTCTGTTACCTCTAGAGCCCCCAGTGTCCCACATCAATGGTCTGAAAACTAGTGCAATGAATGTCCTTGTTACTTGGGAACCATGAAGGAGTGGGAATGTTTCTACCAGGTCTCTGTGGGAATTTAAAATCTGTGGTCATTGCCCTCTTGGGCATCTTTTGTTTGCTTTCATAGAATCATAAAAAAATTAGGATGGGAAGGGACCTTAGGAGATCACATCTAGTCCGACTCCCTGCTCAAAGCAGGACCATTCCCAACTAGATCATCCCAGCCAAGGCTTTGTCTACCCAGGTCTTAAAAACCTCCAGAGATGGAGAGTCTACAACCTCTCTGGGCAACTGGTTCCAGTGTTTTACTACCCTCCTAGTGAGAAAGTTCTTCCTAATATCCAACCTAAACTTCCCTTGCTATAACTTGAGCCTATTGCTCCTTGTTCTGTCATCTGTTACCATTGAGAACATTTAGCTCTTTGTTGTGCTCCATTCGCCCACCTGTGCCTTGACATTTTAAGCCCCTAAGGGCTTAAAATTGTCATCATCTGCTTGATGGAACAACCACAAAGTCTTGTCATTCTTGAGAAGATTACATGCAAGATAATTGGTGACATATGGGTCTGGCAGCAGACTAGTCATCCCTGGGGGGGTGGCATGCTGCCAGGTGTTAGAAGTGTAACACGTGGGGTGAATATTTTTTTATGACCGTTAGTAAGGATCACGCATGCTGCGAGTGTCTCATACCCTCCAAGCACATTTGGGAACTGTATAAAAGCCTTCTCACTCTGCAGGCTCCTCATCCACTACCACTCAACTGCTCTCATCTGTGAATCAGGTAAGTCACTTTTGTACTAAGTCTCTTTCCAGCTGTTGAAGCGTCACTTTATGGTTGGTCTTTGTGGGCACGGATTTCAGAAGCGGCTTGTGAGTTTGGGGGCAGATCAGTTTCCAGAGATGGAGTTCCCGGGGATTCCCCCAAACCAGTGTCTCCAATGGGGCGTTTACAAATACTCATTGATCTTGGCCAGTAGTGGAAGAGCCACTGTGAAAGAGCCTTGTCATGGTTCTTTCTTGGAGGCATTGGTGATTATTAGTTTTAACTTTACTTTGTGGCTTTGTATGAAAATAGTGTTTGAGGCTATATGGACCACGAGCTTAATACGAGTAACATTAGAGATGTTGAGTGGTTTGGTGGGGAAGGTAAGAGGCTTGGGTCTGGAAAGACCTAGCTTCTAAGCCTTGGTCACTGACCTGAAATATGGTATGTGTTGTCTTCCTGTGCCTTGATTTCCACATTTGTAAATTGGTGGTCATAATAGACTGCAGAGAAATGTAAAGGCTGAAGGGTAAAGTACACAGAGACTAGGAGGAAGAGGAAAGAGAAGGGATACTATAAGAAAGGCAAAAAGGTGTTTGTGGATATTTGAAGGGTCTTGAAAGGAGCTGGAGTAAGAAAGCCCTTTCTCATAGTGAATATCGTGACACCAAGAATAATCTTGATTTCATAGATTTCATAGACATTAGGGCTGGAAGGGACTTCGGAAGATCATCGAGTCCAGCCGCCCGCCCAAAGGGCAGGAAGTCAGCTGGGGTCATAGGACCTACACTTGCTATTGTTATTATTTGATTTCAAAGCCATGACCGGATGCTTAGCACTAGATGAAGGCTTAAATTCTGCTTTCTGCTGTGCTAATGAAACCCCATGAATGTCAGTGGAGTAGCTAGGGGGTAACAGAGAGGAGGAATTCTCCCACAAAATCATTATCCCTGGGTAGATTGAATTTAAAGCCAGAAAATGGGTTTCATATTTAATATGTGGGGAAGCAGCAGCCAGGCCTAGGAAAGCTCCTGGTTGAAAGCCTCCTTGCTATCCATACAACCATAAAAAATGAAGGTTGACAAAAAAAAAAATTAGGATGGGAAGGGACTTCAGGAGATCACATCTAGTCCAACCCCTTGCTCACAGCAGAGCCAGCCCGAACCAGATCATCCCAGCCAAGACTTTGTCTAGCTGGGTGTTAAAAACCTCCAGGGATGGAGACTCCACCACTTCTCTGGGGAGCCTTTTCCAGTGCTTCACTACCCTCCTAGTAAGAAAGTTTTTCCTAATATCCAACCTCAACTTTCCTTGTTGCAACTTGAGCCCATTGCTCCTTGTTCTGCCATCTGCCCCCGCTGAGAACAGTCCAGCTCCATCCTCTTTGCCATCACCCTGCAGAGCTGAAGGCTGCTGTTAAATCCCTGCCAGTCTTCTCTTCTCCACACAAAATAAGCCCAGTTCCCTCAGCCTCTCCCCACAAGTCCTGTCCCCCAACCCCCCAACCATTTTTTTTGCCCTCCATTGGACTCTCTCCAATTTGTCCACATCCTTTAGTGGGATCCCAAAACCAGACAATGGACTGCATGCCCCACGGCCCATCCTGCTGAATTTAGGCTGATTGGTAGCCAAGAAGGCACATGTCTTGGAGCCAGGAAGACAGCAGGCAGGAGGGAGCGTGCCACTGTAGACCAGTGGGAGGGGACTGGGTCCTCGCATTGAATTTGTTTGCCCTTCTTGCTACAACCAGGGGGTGTTTCTGTCAAGAGCCCCTGGGGGAGGGGGTACCTGGGTCCTGCTAGAGATGGAAAAGCACCCTTTTTCCAGTCGTGGAGAGCAGGAGTAATTCAGCGGGAGTCCCTGGAGGTGAACAGGAGCACGGGAAAGCTGTGCTAGGCTTGGTGGCTCTGAGAATGTCATGGGCAGCCCAGTCTGTTCCTCCTACAAAGCTGAAGGGTCCACCCAATTTCTTTTCCCCAGGCATTCACCTGGGGGTGCACCAAATAGGTTAGTCCTGTGCAGTCCAACAAGCCCCATTTCCCTGTGCTCTCTGGCACACCGCGCTGCTTGGTACAGGTGCTACGCTGCATTGGAAGCACCACCAATGCTGTGGCAGGTTCATTAGCATGGATGGAGGCTAACTGGGTGATTAGCTTGCCCCAAGTACCCGTGGACGCAGGTGCAGTGCTGCCCATGCAGGGGATACCACCAGTGTGACTTTATGGGGGCTGCTGCCTGGGCCATTAGGTTTGGAGCAGGAATATGACCAAGATGCCTGCATTATGTGGCCTGTCACTGTGCTTTGTGGATAAATGCAAGGATCCAGGCTCCCTGCCGATGTGCACTGGGTTGCAACAAAACAACATCAGTTTGTAGCACCTGAGTAACTGGCTCTTCCCTGAGTGACCAAGCAGTGAGGGGGACTTGGCGGGGTTAGTGCATGTCACATTGGTCAAGGATCTGCTCTTTCATGGTTCTTTCAGCTCTGCCCCATCACGTCAAGATGTCCTACTATGGCCAGCAGTGCAAGCAGCGGTGCCTGCCCCTGCCCATCTGCCAAGACCAACTCCCTGTGAAATGCCCACCCATGTGTCCTCAGCAGTGGACACCGCAATACTCCACCAAGAGCTACTCGGGCTACGACGGGTACTGCGAGTCCAGCTCACTGCAGTGCATGGAGCCATGTGGTCCCAAAGGCTGGCGGAAGTGTAGGCCTCAGTGTGAGCAAGTGTGTCTCCCACCATGCCCCCCGTCATGTATCACCAAGTGCCCCCCACCATGTGTGACCAAGTCCCCCCCACCATGCGTGAAGTGCCCCCAGCAGTGCGTCACCAAGTGTCCCCCACCATGTGTGACCAAGTCCCCCCCACCATGCGTGAAGTGCCCCCAGCAGTGCGTCACCAAGTGTCCCCCACCATGTGTGACCAAGTCCCCCCCACCATGCGTGAAGTGCCCCCAGCAGTGCGTCACCAAGTGTCCCCCACCATGTGTGACCAAGTCCCCCCCACCATGCGTGAAGTGCCCCCAGCAGTGCGTCACCAAGTGTCCCCCACCATGTGTGACCAAGTCCCCCCCACCATGCGTGAAGTGCCCCCAGCAGTGCGTCACCAAGTGTCCCCCACCATGTGTGACCAAGTCCCCCCCACCATGCGTGAAGTGCCCCCAGCAGTGCGTCACCAAGTGTCCCCCACCATGTGTGACCAAGTGCCCCCCGCAGTGTGTAACTGAGTGTGTGACCAAGTGCCCCCCACCATGTGTGACCAAGTGCCCACAGCAGTGCGTGACCAAGTGCCCACAGCAGTGCGTGACCGAGTGCCCACAGCAGTGTGTGACCAAAGGTCAATCAAGCAAAGTGAAGATTTCAAGCAATAACAAGAAGTACTGCTCTGCCTCCAAGTGGTTTTGATAAAGCACGAAGGAAAGGGCCTGGAAGGAGGAACTGCCCCGCAGACGGCTAGAACCGCTCTCCATGCACCGCGCTTCTCCTCCTGCTCACACTCCCTGAAAAGCTGCACCCTGGGTTCACAGCTCTGTTCTCTTATAGGTTAATTTATTACCTGGAAGTGTGTGTGAATGATGTTTGTGTGGTTACACTGTATATGCTTCTAGTTTATTCCTTGCTTTAGTGCAAAGATGTCTGTTTTTTCACCCGCTTCACACAGACACTGGTAAATTAGTGGGATAAGAAGACAAAAAGTAGAAATTCCCAAGACTGATGCTGAAGTCTTGAGTTCAATGCATCCTTGTGTGACTGGAGTATGCTAGTGCCAACCCCCAGATCTGGTGGTTCTGCCTTTGGAACTGACCTGAAGATACCCTTTTAGGTGGGCTCCTTCAGTGTGAGATTTCCACAATGTGGTTGCTTTTAAGATTAGATGTAGACACAGGGTATGAATAGCTTTGGCACAAAGTTGATTTATTGTTTGTATGCTGGAGACCTCCATGAGCACAGATCCATGGATATGGGGCCAAATTATTTGATGCGCTATAACGTTGGAGAACCAGCAACTTCAACGGTGCTCTATTTATACCACGGGTCCCGACCCATAAAGATCTATCTAGCCACATCTGTAGATAAGTTACATTTCTGCTCACAGAAGTGTTTTAATGTAATTTTTCTCAGATATCACACCCATGTAACTGGTGCTTGCTTCCATCCATGGCTGTGACTGAGGGACTTTGTGTTCACAATGTATTGCCCAGGCTGCCTGGAGCTCTGTACTCTGTACTTAAAAGATGTATCTTCCAATTGCTTTTAAAATTAAACCTTATGTTTCATCACAGTATCTGCTTCCTTGTGGTCCTTGCACTCTGTTTTATTAGATGTCCAGAATCCCTACCTGAGAAAAATCATTCATTATTCCTTCCTGGCAAGACAATGACATGGAAAAACACCTTGGCAAAGTAGTTAGGCTCAGCACTGCAAGGAGACAGGGAAGAGTGCTAGAGGGCATAGCTTAGGGTTTAGGAGCTCTCTATCCAAGGCTCTGCTCTGTGGCAACATTTCTCCATAGTCCTGGGCGGGCCCCAACAAAGGATGTTGGTATCTACAAGTCTGGAATGGCAACAGGAAGCTTTTTGATCTCAGGGTCTCTCTCTTGAGTGCATGGAGAGAGCAACAGGCTTCTGACTGGGATCCAGAAAAGGGTGCAGAGAACTGCCTAGAGCCAGCTGGTGGGAGATGCTATGGATGGCGGTGGTCTAAAATCCTGTCCTCTGGAGACCACCCCCATAGCTGAAGGAAGCCACCTTGGTCTAGGGAAGATCTGTTTCCCTGAAGAGGAGCAGGAACTCTTACCTTTCAAGGAATAAAGATGGGCCCCTTTAAAATGTGGTGCGGTTGGTTCTCTTTATATAAAATAACCAAGTCACTGGAGCAGTATTTTTTTTGTCATTACAGTCATCTGGCTGTGAAAAATTCTTGCTAGTTTGCACAGAGCTTTCTGTAGCGATTAGTGTCACCCCTTACGACAGATAGGAGGAAATATCAAGGCCGTGCAGGCTGGACTTCTGACGCAGGAAAAAGGGGTGATATGGGACGGGTCTTTTCTTAGTGTGGGTTGTTTCTCTGCGTGGACAGCAGAGCTTACAAACAGCATGCAATAAATCCTTTCTTTCAGGAATTTCACTGTGCTTCAGTCCCAGGAACTGTTGGAAAAGAGGAGAAAGGGGGTGGGAGGGAGCATAATAGCATGTTTCAAATATCTGAAAAGCTGCCTCAAAGAAGATGGTGAAACATTGCTCTTCCCAGGCACCGGGGGCAGGACCAGAAGCATTTAAACTCCAACTAGGCCAGTTCAAATCAAATCTCAGGGACAATTTCTTCCTTGCAGAAACATGGAACAAGCTGCCCAGAGAAGTGGTGGAATCCATCTCAATGGATATTTTCAAGAGGAGATTGGATGGGCATCTGTCTGGGCTCGCTTAAATAGTTAGCAGTAGGCCTGTGTAGGATGTTGGACCCGAAAACTCTGGAAGGTTCAACCCTAGAAATCATCTTTAGCTTGTTAGGATTTAGCAAAAGAATTAATTAATCAGGAAGTGATTCATCCAGAGTGTCACAGGCACTTGTGTGCGAGTTGCTCATTCTGCGTCCGCTAGGCTTGTGTTAAGGACGTCTTAGGTTTCAGGGAGCCACGAGAGTAGAACAGAATAGATTCAAACAGAAATGGCAACCCTAGCTGTGATTCAGTGTAACAGGAGGCAAACCTAGTGGTTAGGACCCAGGATTCACTTCTACGTCAGATGTGATGGGTTTCTATAGCTGGTTTTGATGCTGACGTTGGGTGACATGGGGCAAGTGACATCATCTCAATGTGCCTCAATTTCCTCCTTATTTCTGGTGGGGAAAATTATACTCTACCTCCTCTTACAACACATTGAGGCTTCCTCACATGAAAGGATTTCAAAACCGTTTGCAAATGTTAATTAAAAGGATTAGACAAACAGTTTAGGATGTTGTCATCATGTTAATATTGTGCTATCTGAGCTGGAATCACCAGGCTGATAATTAGCATAATTTTAATAAGTGTTTTGTTTGTGGCAAACACAACTCCTGCCAAGGTGGTGCTTGTGAAAAGCCATTGACCTGGTTGCTGTTCCCCTGCTGGGTGTTTCAAACACAAAAAAAAGGGTCTCGACCAAACATTTTTCAATTAAAAAAAAATGTTTTGTAGACGCATTTAAAAAATGGTTTGAGTGCGTTTCTGTTTGCACATGATGAACCCATGGACACAATGTTTTAATTTGTGGTGACCCAAACTAAACCATGTCAGGATGAGTTTTATTTTAAAATGCAGGAAGACTTTTAAAATGTGAGGAAAACCTGCATTTGCAAACTGTAACGCTGTTGCAACACAGGGAAGGGCAAATTTCATCATGTGTACAAGCACCGTGATAGGCTGAGCTAAAGAGTTTTGCACTGCCAAAAGGTGGCCAAGAAAAGTAATTATGAATAGAGCAGGCTGAAAAATAAAACTGCCTGCATACATTGAGAAAATCCCTTATTAGCTAAACAGCAGCTTTTGCAAAAAAATGGGTTTTTTAATGAAAAGAGAAATCCTTACACTAAAAAAGCAAAAAACTTGCAACCTAATATTTTTTTTTCAGCTTTTGATTTTGTTTTCCCCAATGAAAATGCAGAAAGCTTCCAAAGAAAATTTCTAGTCAAATGAAAAGATGTTCACGAGGAAGAGTATTCATTTCTCAAACAAGTCTAATGTTAAGACATGTAATAAACTGCAAGAACAGTGGTTTCTTTTTCTGGGTATTATTTTCTGTTCATGTATGTAGTATATAAATGATCACCTTGCTGAAGAATCCAGCTGATTTTGGAGTCCCATCAAAGCAATGTCCCATCTAAACATGCATACACTTGAATTTAATGCCACTTTAAATAAGTTAATAAATAAAAACACTTCCCCTGGCTTTTAAATAAGTGTTTAAATAAATGTTCTGTGTCAAGAATGCACTGCGGAGTAGGAGATTTGGCGAGATGAGAGCCCAGGAAGTGTGGCTGTGCCTTAAGGAAATGATCCTTCAGGCACAGAGGGAGACGATCCCGATGTGAGGAAAAGGGGGAAAGGGGCCAAGAGGCTTTCTTGGCTGACCAGAGAAATCCAGAGCAGCCTAAGGGCAAAAAGGGGGGTATATAAGCAGTGGAAATGGGGAGAGATTACTAAAGAGCAGCTCGCAGTTGTAGGGAGGCAGTTAGAAAGGCCAAAGCTACCATGGAGCTGAAGATGGCATCCCAAGTTAAGGATAACAAAAAATAGTTTTTCATATATATAAGGAGTAAAAGGAAGCCCAGGGCAGTATAGGACCACTACTGAATGGGCAAAAGCAATTGGTGACAGACAG